TCTAATATGATCTAAATTTTCTAAAATGAATTGATCTGAATGACCTAAAATATGATCCAATATGATCTAAAATGGATACGCATGCATATGTATACCGAAAATAAATACGACAGGTTAAATTGTTCATTAATTGACTGAAAACATGGAGCAACTTTTATATACGAAAGAAATCTATCAAGAGAAAAGTTGTTTCATTTCTTCAGGGGTTGTCTTTGGGATGAATCTTATCTTGTAGTGAAAACTGTCAAAGACGAACCGTCCTGACGCTTCCGTCATGCTTCCTTCACAGCGTAAATGGGGAGATAACCGGAAGGCCGATAGGGTCTGCACCAGAAATGAGAAATGTCTTTGCGGCTGCAGAGATTAAAGATTTTGCGGATGAGTGGTTGACACTTTCTTTTTTCTACTTTCTTTCTTGTGTATTAAAAACAGAAGATATATTCATGTCAAGATATATTACTGGTACTTTTTGAGAAATTGATAAATATTAACATTAGCACTCCAGGAGTCATTCTATTAAAAACCCCAAGTCCTATTAAAAATTTAGAAAACATGATTTTTACTATATTAGTATATAATATTTCTGCATTATATTATGTATAAAACTTATATATTTTATATACTGTATATTATTCATTTATGCTTCATATTATAATATAATATGAAGCATATAATATCACATAATGTATGACATGTGTTATATTATTGTATAATAAAATAATTACTAATCATGAATTGATAAATACCAAGAAAATATGTGAATAAATGAATAAGATATAGGATGATAGGAAAGAGACATAATTTTTGAAATAGTAATGAAATGATAGTGATCAAAGAAATCCTAAATAAATATAGGTAATAAATATCCTAATAAATGAAAATTAGTATTTTTAAAGTTATAAATTAAGTTATAAACAATTTCTTATTTCAGTTAAAGCAAATGATTTTCTCGCTTCGTGCCACCACGACACATTTTCAAAAATTCCGTGACATGTTCTAATTATATCACTGGCATTTTGTATTTTCTAATGCAATTTATTTATGTCATTGACTGAGAAGTACATTATAGAAAATTTTAGAAGTTTTGAATTCTCGCAGATTTATTACTTATCTTAGAAATTACGAATTTTTCTTTTTATCACTCTGTATATTTAAACTTATTATAATACACTTTTTGATGGTCATTAACCATTGAAAATTAGAAGATATCATAGTTACGTTACCGATTGATGCAATATTAACATTATAAAGTATGCTTTATAATGTTACACCTGCACTAATTATTACAATTTGATGTCATCTAAATTGAATTTTCTGATTAATATTAACATTTAGTGAATCATTCAGTTACAGTTGTTATTTTAGTTTTTGACTACATGTTTTTAAATGCAATCATTTTTATGAATATCTGTAGGCGAAAGGGAATGGAAAAGCGACAGTTCTGAAATATTAAGAAATTGGCAAAATAAATGTGAAAGCAGTAGCAGTAGATTACAACAGCGGATCTGTACGCATCAAGGAAGCATGCTAATAAACAGACCGCATAATACGGCCAGTCGTGGTCAAATCTGCGGAGTAGAAGCCTACCTTAAACCAGCTGATCCCCGTACAGAGACGACGCTAGGACAGGGCACCTTAATGAAAACTATACGTCCCTGGATTAAGGTGGCCACTGGTCAGCTTTCGGTCCTCCTAGGTACGACCTGTCTTATGCAACCTTGGGGTAGACCCTATGGCAACCAGCGTATTAGATGGAAGTTTAGGGCATTAATACCTAATATCATGCCACCGGTAGTAAATCCTTTGTTGGTCATCTTACCGGGAGACTTAGCACCTTACATCACCGAGCACTGATAACATTCTATATCAGTTTATGATTTAATATGTAAGTCGATCAAACCTTCGTTCGTGACGAAGAAATCGCCGGATATTAAAAATAATTCGTAGGAAACTTCGGTGTTTTATGGCTAGTCGACGCAATTCAGACGCGAAGAGAAAGGAAATATGTATAAAAAATAGTAATTAGACAAATAAGAAATTTAATAAAACCGAATGCATAAACCATGCTTATTTATGGTTGTATATTGATGGTGTATTGCAAAGATTTTAAAAAAGTTCTAAGTACTAAAGATTGAAGTATTTAAATTATGTACAATGGCTAACAAAAGTATTCGGACAATTATCGTAAAAGAACTTTCTTGTTTGTAGGATGTGTCATTTAAAATTGATATTATCTAAACTACATCAAAAAATGTTTCAGACAATAATTATACGATTAACATTTTTATAAGTGAACACGTGGAAGTTATATGAGGATCGCATGTATTTTTTCAATTAAAATCATACACATACTTCTCTTATAAGAAAATGTTGTATGTCAAAGTGTCAGAAAATCACCAATTTAGCAAATATATTAATTTTAATTTAGATAAAACTTACTCCCGCGCGAGGCGTCAAAAAACGCAAAGTATAGTATTCATGTTTTCCTCATTTTCATTGTGCGGTTGCGTGCATTTTCTTGTCTTGCATGTAAGATTAATTTTACGAAACTATAGTTAAAATATTTGCTAAATTAGTGATTTTATAACATAAATGAATAGATATTCTTTTATAGAAGCATAGTATAGAATGCTTAATGTTAAGTTTTATTTCAAAAAGAAGATTGATTTTGAAATAAAGTGATTGCTCCATAAAACGAAAATAACAGAATTAATTTTTTAATTAATTAATCCTTAATTAATTAATCCTGCATATCTCGAATAATTGATGTCCACTTTATGCATATATTTCAAATGTTCATAACGTTAAACTTTTATACTTGCGATTTATTCATAGTAACATCCATCATAATGTCCAATACTAGTATAACTCGTAAGTGATATTTTTTTCTAGTTTCACCAAGTGCAAAATTTTTCATTTTATGAAAAGTTCAAAATGTTACATTCATATCTTCATTTATATAAAAAATTGTTACACTAGGAATTTTTTGTTCACTTTTTTATGAACAAAAATGCATCAATAGAAATTTTTGTGGATAAAATAAAAAAATCATTACACTAAGGATTAAAAGAATAGAGCCACCGTGATTTATTTCACTCGCTAAATAATTTAACTTTATATGTCGTGGATTTTAGATTTATAATTGTAATTTATTTACATCATATGTAAGCTATTCATTTTTGCATCTAAATTTTTATAAACACAGTTAAAGAAGAAATCTACGCAGAGATTTATTTTCACTCAGTGAATACAATACTCTAAAAAATTTGAAAATTACTAAATTAATACCCCAAATAATAATCCAAAAATTAATAATCCAAGAATTGACGATCTTTGAACTCTTGTAACTTTTTGTAAAAAATCCTACAACATTTTATCTGTGCTCATTTTAGGTCTATGGGACATGATTGTATGAAAAATATTCTATTTTTCGAGTGCTCGAACCTGCACGGTGGGATGTTATTTATACTACTTTTAAATTGTGAAAGTTTGTAATTCTAAACAATTAAAATAAAACAATTTTACAATCTATTTACAATGAAAGAAGCAATAGTGCATGTAAGATAATTTTTTATGTTAATATCCTATGTCTTAATGTCAAAGGAAAAAGTTCTAACTTAATTTTTACGAAAATCTTTTTTATTACAAGTCGAATTGAGAAATTGAAATTGCTCTCTTCACTCTGAAATTTCAACTGTAAAATGACATTTATTGCAAATCTTAAATAAATATCATGTATTGCAGATTATAATTTTATATTTACAAAATATTATCTTTATATATCTGTACATTTCAGCAATATTAAATCGCCAGTGAATAATGTGCATATAGTAATCCGTAATTTATTATAGAGAAATTAAAACACTTATTTATGCATATTCCAGATAAGTAAAAGGACGCTATGTATCGTGTACTTCCGGGACGGACAGCTACTCGAAGCTGTCCGTTTCCTTTTCAATTGAGAGATACCGTGGTATATTGATTAATAAGTATTTCGTTGTTTCCCGAATGAAATCGGCGAAACCAAGTTTCCTTCTCTCTTCTTCTTTCCACCTCTCTTCTCGTTCTCCATTTCCTCGGTTTCGTAGAAGTCTGGGATTATGACCTGAAGTGGGATAGACTGTGGGACTTAAGTCAGGGTTACACAAGGATCGCAGCTATTGTGCCATCGCCCGGCTCTTATTGTCTCGGGATAGACGAGTGGATCTGCATATGCTTAGCACGAGAGTTAGACTTCTCTCTCGGCGATCTTCAGCTTCACGAATCATCTGGACCCTCCAATTCAAATCCTGAAATGCGAAAGCGTGTGCCCATTGTCGGTCGAATGTATAGAACCGGAACTAGCCTGATTGTCCAAGAACTTCTCTTCTTCATTTCGAACGATTGAAAACTTTTGTTCCGATACCTAGGCACAATATTGTGTTCAAAGCAGAATGATTAATTGAATATGAGCACATTATCCAGCGTTATGAGTTACACGGTCACACACGAAATTGTTCGCACACGATGAAAAGTTGTTGATATTTTAAATTGTTATAGCTTTGTGAAATGAAATTGATGACGACGATCTAGATGGCCTCGTTTCGAAGCGTGAATGTGTCTGTTTCGATAATTCTTAGTTTGTTTTTCTCAAAGATGTGCAGCGGGTGGGAAAGTAAGGATACTTTTGTTCTTGAAACTCAAATTACATTTTATGTATTTAATATATCTTATGTTTAAATAGAATCCAACACTACGTACTTAATTTTTATCATGCGAACTATTTGAATATTAATATTATCTATCATTAATATCGAATGTAGTTCGTAAATTATTTCTTTCTGCTGAAAGAATTTAGAACTTAATGGATTTGCAAGAATGGAATACTGAAACAGTACAAGAATAATATTATACTTTTCAGATTTCAACGCAAAAATAAAGATTTGAATTAAGTATCTCGCATTAATAAATAATTTAATAATTTCCAAAATTATTAAAGAAAAGTATGATTTTGATTTCAGGGAAAAATCTTCCAGTGCATTGTGTGGTCGAAACGATTCACAATATCGTAGAAACACATGTAAGCAACTCTCGTGAAAATTGGCGAAGACCTCAAGTAGAAACGGATTCCTATGTTATCATCCCTGTGGCTATGCCATTTCAAGTGAGTAATTTTCTCCTCCATTGTGTGTTTCTTTTTTTTTTTTTTTTTTTGTAAACAATAACATTCACTTACTTGATTTAACGTCGTGTGAAAAATTATAATAATTACAATAAACTATATTTAAATGTCTTCTAATATTTTAATATTATGAGAAACAATATTTTTTTTTAATTTTAAGAATGGAGGAATAGCTTCAAAGTTAAATGAGGAAGCAATTTTGGTAATACAAGGTTAATCTGTAATATATAAAATTCTAAAAGTATAGTCTCTGTGGTCATTGTAGTCTCCACTTATAAATTAGCTCTTTATAACATCGTGTAAAATTTTACTTTGTCTGCTTGTTGTTTCACTGTTATATTATATTATCAATACATCGTTATAAATATTATAAAATTATTCATAACAGTTATTAATTGCAAAATTCTTGTTTGGATTAGGTAGCTATAATTAATTGGTAATCTCTTTCTCTTATAAACGAAATTCTGATTATACGGCATTAACAATTGAACATTTCTCAAAAGACGAAAATTTATTTCTCAGTACATAATGTTAAAACTTCATATATAAATAAATCTAAATCTGAAAATTTTAATTCACAATACGATAGCCAATAATAAAAAAATATACATATAACAACATACAAAAAAAATGATAAACTTCATTAAAATTTACATTAAAATTTACATTTCCTCTTTTCTCTCGAATCCTTGAATTATACATATCTCGTGAAAATAGAAGGCACATTGGACAAAAATAATATGACACATGATATTAAAAAATGATGAGCTTCACTGTATTCTCTCTGTTACTGATTTTTAGTTTTGCGATACTTCTACTGAATTCAAATTGAAAAAAATACTAGAACTACCAAAGTGGTCAAAATGATTAATAATTTTTATTATAATAAGAAAAGTTAAGTTTTGTTAACTTTATATTAAAACTAATTACTTTATAGATTAGGTATAAACTAATAACTTTGTAGGTATAAAACAGTATATTTTTAAAGATTTAAATGACTTTTTGTAAAATGTATAAATAAAAACCTGTGTACTTCATTATTATAAGTATTATGAAGCTTTTATATTTTCTTTTACTTTGATGTGCCTGATAAAAAGTGTATGTTTTAATCACCGGTAGTTCTAGTATTAATAATTTGTAGTACACTTGAAATGATCGATGCATTGCAATAATTTAATTTAATCAAGTAATTATTTGATTTCTGCAGGATTTAGTAGGTGAAGCATTGGTACGTCTTGGTTATTCAAGCGACCTGATACCAAGTGCTAGGGGAAGCATCGTCATAAGAAACTGGAAACCTCTCCCGATGGAGAAAGTCGCGGACGGTCCTCTGTTAACAGTTGGTGATATTTTAGCTGAGTTAACATCGGTTGCCACTTTGAAGATTCAAGTATACAGATCGAGACCACCACCACCTAGTCCAGCAGCCGAAGTTAGAAACAAATTGTTGAGATTATTGTTACTCCATAGTCATGCACTTCTCGTCTCAGCTGGTTGCCCTTTAGATGAGGTAAGTCTTGCGATTTTTTGTTAGTTTTCTTTCACATTTTTAGTTGGTGTATTTTTCATGTCTAATATACTAATACGTGATGGACTATTTCTGACAGTAGACTAGAGTTTCTTTATATATTTGTATATTTAGAATATTTAAATAGAATTAACTACGTGGCATTGATTTTATTAGAATGGTCTAGATTAATCTTTAAAATAGAATGAAAAATATATTATAGAGTGAAAGCAAAGGGATTACACGTTTAATATAAATATCTAGACAGTGGACTGCAAAGATTTTTGTACATCAAGTAGATTTAGTACATCAAAGATATTATACATCAAGAGACATATTCATTTTCCTTGTATAATATACTTCAGGCAACAAAAATTATTATTAATATTGGAAATCTCTACTGATATTAAAAGATTTGTATATTCCATACACAGAATGTGTACCTAAATTTGTGGTCAGTACCAATTATGTACCAAGATTCAAAAGTATGCTGCACTTGCTTATATTTTTTTAAAAAATGTACTGTAATTACAAACTTACATATAGAAGAAACTACAACAATTTTATTTCTTACACCGTAGAATATCATCGCACGAAAAAATTTATTATAGAATAAAAAAAAACATTTTATAATAATTTTGTAATTTAATAACTGACATTCTGATGAATTATTTATTGAATTTTAATACATACAAATAAGTTACGCATTAAACAAACAATTTACATTTCATATAACATGTCTGTGTTACAAAAAATGTCTTATTATTTTTGATTATTAGTTTCTTATTAATTCGTGTATTTTAAAATGATTCATGTATTATTAACCCAAATTAATCTACTTACTTACTTATATATATATGCATAGATGATAAACAAATTTGATTTTATTTCTTTTAAATATCTCTATAATATTGTTACATATTTCTGTAATTATAATATTTATCTACACTGTCTGGAACATATTTTTTGTTATACTATAACATTATAAGTTAACTCAGTCCACAAAAATTTAACCGTGAAGAAAAACCGTGATTTTGAATCAGAATTAAGATCGAGTGTCAGCGTTAAAGCATTACAGCGTGGAATTTAAAAACAACTGAAAATCAAGGAGTCAAAAGAAATCTGGGTGTAAGACCGCTTAAAAATGTATAAAATGTAAATCTAACCAGAAAGTGCTTGTCGGGGCACCTAATCTCATTAAGAAGTCCTCCGTCTTGTATCCTTGCTCGTCCTTTAAGAACTAGTGGTAATCTTCGCCAGATTTTCGGTCTCGATCCTCGTTGATCTCCGTTTTAAATAAATGTTTTCTCGGTTTCAAGCTACCGCGACAATATTTGAAATCTTCCTTTGTCAATATAGAAGACATTTTCGATTTGGTTAATAATTATATGATTCATTCTTATTTTAGTTTATTTAGATTGAGCGTATTATGATCAATTGAAATGTTTACATTTCGGTACATTATTGATAATTCAAACACTTACAGTTACAATTTGTTTAATGTATAAATTACTTAATATTTAATAAATATAGAAAATAAATCAGCTGCGACAATGAAATTTAAATTAAAATTGAGCAACATTTAAGAGAAAATTTTTTAATGTAAAATAACGTAGCATATTGTTTAAAAATACTTTCATTCTCTTCTTTAATTAATAGTGAAACATAGGTAAAATATTGGAAAACAAAATAATATTACATATTCATATAAGAATTATAGACTGTATATATTTGTTCAATTTTACAACATAGCTAAAATAATAAGATTTAAATAGAAATTTGTATACATTAAATATCGTAATGAGTATCTACACTATTTCATATATATATATATATATATATATATATATATATATCTTTCAAAAATCTACAATGTGTATATATATATATATATATATATATATATATATGTATATATACATACATTGTAAAAAAATCTACAATGTGTATATATACATACACATATATATATACATACATTGTAGATTTTTGAAATCTTTCTAAAAAATTTCTTATAAATCTATAAACAATTTAATAATAATTATTAATTACAGTTATAATACAACGATATACATTCAAATAAATACGTATATGTTACAGTGTATTTGTTATTTTCTTTCATTTTGCGTAATAATTTAAAATAATTAATATTCATGCAAAATAAATTATACTTTTTTAATAAACTAAAAAATAGAATTATAATACTATTATAAGATCAGTTATCATCTTTTCACACGATTATTTATTTGTAATATTCTTTTCAAATGTATGTAATACAATACAGTGTAAAGATAGTGATTTTGGAACACATTTTTGTATTTCAAGATTCTAAGAACGTTTGATAGTTTCTTTCTATTTAATCAATATTTCTGGTATTGATAAAGATCAACTTTCTTTTTAATTTTCTATCTATGAACACTTACTCTATTTATTTTAGTATCTACTTATTGCACTAATTTAGCAATCATACATTATTAGAGAGTATTTGATATTTTTTAATTTTGAGTTCAAGTTAATTTAACTTTAAAATAAATTTACAGTGGATAGTGAATTTTTATACATTCTCATTTATATTTATATTATAATTATTAATTAATATATATATGTCATATACAATATCTAGATTACAATTAGAAAAATAAAAGTATATAAATAATCTTCAAATTTCCTATGAATACATAAGAATTTCTAAACTGTTCATTAATAAACAATATAACTGCAAAATTGGATAATGTTCTTGCCTCTATCTTTTTTAAATCAGTAATCGGTACAATTGGTAATCGTAACAATTGACTAGAAATGGTGAGAAAGATCCTCAAAATTTAGTTCTTCTTAAAGACACTATGTTCAATTTGTAACTATAAATAAATTATTGTTCAATTTGTAACTATTAATAAATTATTGCACTATAAAAAAATTATTGTTCCACATTTAAATGAATATCAACAGACTTCGCACTATAAAAAAATAATATTATTGCACTATAAAAAAATTATTGTTCCACATTTAAATGAATATCAACAGACTTCGCACTATAAAAGAAATAATATTATTGCACTATAAAAAAAATTATTGTTCCACATTTAAATGAATATCAACAGATTTATTAATAAATTATTGCACTATAAAAAAATTATTGTTCCACATTTAAACGAATATCAACAGACTTAAATGAATATCAACAGACTAATTATAAATAAATTATTGTTCAATTTGTAGCTATTAATAAATTATTGCACTGTAAAAAAATTATCGTTCCACATTTAAATGAATATCAACAGATTTCGTGACAACAGATACTTAAAAACACCATGTCACGATTAAAAGGATTACTTTCATTAATTACCCAAGTTTACGTTCAAAAGAATAGCAATCAATCTTGAAATATCAAGAAATATTATCTCACGAGTAGATTTCTTAACCTAACCACCGATTAGAAACGTTCTTTCTAATGCGCCAAAGGAGATGATCCAACGAACAGGTCCGTTCGATTTCGTTTCTCCAAAAGACGAAACATCATCGTACGATTTCCATACGAGGGCAATGCGAGCATGCCCTTTCGACGGCAACGAAGATCTCATAGCATGTGATAGGATTACCCTTTACTCAACCAAATTCGCAGCCTTCATCAAAAGCCCCCTCGATATCGGAAGAAGAAGAAGGGCGATGGGGTATGCCACCCCCTTCGGGCGGGCATTATCTAAGTGCACTCTCTTTGAAGATCCTGCTGTACTCGCCCATCCCCGAACTTTAATGCCGCTCGCGGTGGTCTATGATTACCAATTTTCTCTGACAGACGTTTCCTGCTCGAGTTTCGGCCCGTCGGTTAATGGCGAATCGCTGTGATGGAGAATCGCCGACTCGCGTTCGTTCGAACTTAATCTGTCGATCGTTTCGGCCAAGACTCGACGTTCGCGCCAGCTAACAACGCCGATCGACCGATTTACGAAGTCTCGACAAATTTGCATGATTAGAACACGATTGTGACTAGAATTGCCTTCCCTGGCGTTCACTATCATTGCCTCGCGCTCCCTGTTGTTCCATACACGATCTTTACGCATCTTGCGTGAATTTCGATCAAACATAACGCATATTGCGTTTACGAGTTTATCATTCCATGAATGTTAGATCTTGGTAACTGTCATTTGTTTTGCGTACTTGTTGATGGAATATGGATAATAAGGATTGCTCATTCGTTAAGTGTACAGATTAATTCGTGGGATTTGCAATTAATCGATTGTAACATTATTTTGAGTTTATATCAATTCGTATAGTGAATAGTAAACAAGTAAATAATCACGTTGTGATTACAAAAACCATTAGGCACAATGTCGTATTTCAATTGAAAAATGCACAATTTCTCACTTACTTAATAATCAACTTAATAATCAAATTTAACCCTATCTTTAATCATTTGCGTTCGGGAACTTTTGTTATTTTTGAAGAGAAAAACTAGAAAGAGGACTAAGAACTTGCTGGCTCGAAACTGGAAGGTCGGATAACTCAAAAATTATATCCGTGCAAAGTTCAATAGCATACAGCGTACCATAAGTCATGTTACATTCTCTCGGTGGAAGTTTCCGAAAATATTTGAACAGAACGTGCTCCGCGCGGAGTTGACAGATGGTGTCTGCGGATTTGTCCGCAGGTTATTTAAGAGAGACAATCTTAAGGCGAATCTTATTTAAAAGAGTTAATTAAAGGGAATAATTAAATTCAAGTTTAATTTAATACCACTACATTAATACAGCGTCAGAAAAAAAATTCGTGATTTTAGTCAAATTAGCAATTGACTAAAATCAAATGTCAGTAAGTAATTTGCACATGTGAGCAAAGTTTGATCCGTGTAGCGTAGTTTTCAATTTTTTTTAACATTTCATAATATACGTGAGATTAGATATGAACAAAAAAAGAATTAAAAATTTAAACTTTTCATGCTCTGTGAATCTAAATTTGGGAATGCAAAATATGCAACGTTTTTATTGTGCCTAAAGAATAGCATTGCTTTATTAGTAAAAAAAAAAAAAAAGGACGTAAAACAACACTTTTTTGCTTACGCTCCAACGAGACACGAAACAAATAATTTAAGAAAGATAATAACGTTTCGCATTTCCTCTTTCCTCTTTATCAACTTTTTTTATCAAAGATGAGGAAGTACATATATCTATGCGTCGAAACTCACGAAAAAATATGCAAATGTTTCACAACATAAATCTACGACAAAGAAATGGCTATACTCATTTGAGTCTCATATTGAATTAATGAATACCATGCTGTTCGATGTTCTAAAAATCCGTCCTAAAAATTTCTTCCTAACAATAATATACATTATGTATAACAGATTCCACGCACCATAAATATGGTGTCCACGTACTTTCAAACGACAATGTAGTCTATAACGTTAGCCTACACAGACCGTTTCCATAACAACAAAGTAACTAACACTTATCAAGAAGCAAAGAACCATATCAATAGCGACAATTCACATTGATGTACCGCGTGAAAAAGTACCATTAAAAATGGTATACACAAGCAAAAGAAAGAGAGAGAGAGAGAGCATCTATGTATTAACCACTTGCGCCTGCAACTGATTGCGGACCATAACGAGTGACCAAACCGTATTCACTGGATAGAAATTATTGAGAAGTAATAAATTTATTATTTGTTTTGCCTATTTCGTTTTACTTCAATATACTTAAAACTGAGAAAATATTACAATTTTTGAACAAAAAAATTCCCTCCAGCGCAAGAGGTTAATGTCAATGACTATAGAATCATCTCGACAACAATGATTAAATCCTCGTACAATTTCCCTGCCGGTTTTTCTGCTTTCGTCTACCTACTGAGGTATGAAATCGTTTGGCCTCTGCATTACGAAAATGTCTACGCTCGAACCCCGTTGACAATATCGTTGACAATTCAGTCGCGAATATTATTTGATCAGTTCTCGCAATGACGATTGATTTACTGCCAACCTGCGGATGATCAGCTGACGTTACTGCGTCATCTGGTAATAATAAATAGGCGTAAATCAGAGCTCGAATCGCAGTCCGATGTCGTCAGATAAGCTCGGCTGGCCCGTTTCTTTTCTTCTTTTTCCTTCGAACGGTGTTTACATATTTATTAACCGATTTCTGAAATCTCGTGACCTGTCAACCGCTTCGCGTCTTCGCTGCCTGAGTGATTAAGTGCCGGGCTGTAAAATTCGCCGGATGAGAGATTCTAGCGGGATGACAGCCTGCTGGATAATAATTGTTCTGCGCCGTATCTGGCGCTACCAAGGTGCCACGGATACGCGACGGATTACCGCGTTATTAAAGTGGCGTCGAGCACCTTGATCCTCACGGGCGGGGATATTTGTTCTTATAAATCATCGTCCAGATAACGCGCGCGTTTGTCAAACCTCGTACTACTTCCTACGAGCCTAAACTTTTCCACAATTTGGCTCGTTAATGCTACACGCATCGCATTCAACAACGACACCCCGAACACTTGCCTAACGTATTATCATTCGATACAAGTATATACCTGTGGCTTGTCGTTTTTATAGACGCTGTAAATATCGTTACTACATTCTGTATTTAAGTAATAACAACATAACAACTATTTTAAAACCTGGGTATCGTGATTTACAATGGGCAAATGAAGAATCATGCTGTCATGCTAGATAAGGATAATAGTAAACTGTGAATTCGTATTTTTGAGAATTTGGATAAAAAGGAGAATAGAACCTTGATGGAAGATTGTTTTGCATATATCAGATATTGCAGAAAGTATCAGTAGTTTTATTCGTACTTTTGAAATTTTCTATAAATGCATAAGAACCCTTTATTTAGTAAAACAAGTATTCGTCTAGGTTTTTTCAGTATTTTAGGCAATTAGGCAATTTTAGTAGCACACTTGTAATTAAATCAATTATTTATTACATTTTTAATTTTTATTTTTCCATCATTTTTCATTTTGGTTTAGATAAATAATCACTTATATAGTTTTAAATTTACTATCCAAACATATAAGTATATTTTGTTGCATACATTTATAAATTACATTATTACATTAATATACAATAAATTTTATATTAAAAATTTTATTTACATTAAATCAAATTCACATTAATTGACATCAAATTTATATTAAAATTTCACATTATATTAAAAATTTAAATTAACTTAAACAAATGTATTTGTGAAAGTAGTCGTCTAAAAATTTCTTCCCAATATGTTTGGTAATTTAAAATATAGAATACATGAAGATATTTAATATAATAATTGTTCTTTTCATATTTAATAAAATATATGTAATAATCCTTTTAAATATATAAATATATATAATAACTTCTCCGTCCATGAATTCATATTTTTAATAATTAAATCATTTACACTTCTTCTAATATTTAGTAACAAAAAAGTAAATCAACTCTTCAAGCATAACGTAGAATATTGCTGTTTCTTTCTTATAGTTGGTAATATACACGTATTTGCACAATTAATTATTAATATTAAATTAATTACTAATATTAAATTTATTATTGTTAATATTAATTATACAATATATTAAATTACATAATTAAATATAATTATAATAATTTTTGTTTTAGATTAACTTGTTAATACATCTACTTATTTCATTTGCAGTGTATTTCATAAAATTTACGATGGGAAATATTGTAACTAAACTCTCATGCATTTATAAAAAATTTAAAAATGCCAAAGTGCACGGAGTGTATGTATTAATATAAAAAAATATATTAATTATTCAAAGTACAGTGTTTTTTGCAATATTTGGTACGTAAAACAATTTTCTATCCGATATCCTGTTTTAATTACATTTTCAAAAGCATGAATTTGCGTAAGAGTCTAATTATAACTATATTTGCAATAGTCTCATCTTATTCATTCAGCGTTATTAATAGAAAAACAAAGCAAGTAGTAAGAGAATAGCGAGAAAAAAAGAGACAATTCTTTACGTATAATATGTACTTAACCGTGCTCACGCATTAATTTTTATCCGCCACGAACATATACTATGTCGCAAATGCTTGTACCTATTTCCATACATAATCCAATGAATTGTTGAAACTCGCTTGTGACATTTGCGCGAAAGAATTTACTCGTCTGTATCGAACCATAAGAATACAATTTTTCATTATTTCTTCACGATGCACAATGCAAAACCTTTTGCCTTTTGACTTTTTCATCAAATTTATTCATAGTATTTATTATAATCAAGTATGTTTGTATTTCATTATTATTAGGTTATAGCATATACTAATTATTACTATTTAATTAATACTATACTTATTTTTAGAATCACAGTATATTCATTTCACTTTTATTTACAATTTCAAATTTCTTCATACTAGTATCTTCAGTTCCTGAAACTATTATCACAACTGATAAAAGTAAATTGTATTTCAATAGTGTTTATTTGTGAATAAAAATTAAGCTTCCAATATTTTCTTATGTTTTGATATTTGGAAATATTTCTTCGAATTTATTTGTAGTATTTAATTACATTTGCAATTGCTTCATTGCTATTATTATTATTATTATTAGTAAAATTATTGCATCATTTACTTGCATTTTCAAATTATAAATACTAATATCTGCTGTATCAAAATTGCATTTCTGCAAGTGATAAAACTGAAATACATTTCGATAATATTTTGTGAATAAAAACTCAGTTATCTTAATATACGTAAGATCTTTCAGACCAAGGATAAGGAGAAAAAAAGAATCCCAGACTAAATAACGAAGTAGCTCATAACATGATAAGCAAAAAGCACCAACGGAGGTTCAATATGACATACAGCACCAAAATAACCAGAAAATTCAGTTCTAAGAAGAAATTTTACAAAGATATCTATATTATGATGTCTTTATAACAAAAAGAAAATTCTCATATTTGTCGTAAAGTAACTATTCCGGTTACTCTAAATTTCCAGAAAACAAAATATATTTATAACAAAAATAAATGAAGACGAAAGAAAATTTTCATCTTCGTCGCAACCAATTTGTTCCTGTTACTTATGTACAACTTTTCGTTCAGTTTTCAAATAACATTATCATCTCTCTATATACACCTAAAATGAAAACTTTCTCTTTTCCAAGATGAAAATTTCCTTTTATCTTTATTATGTTTATATATATTATCTCTATTATCTGTATCTACAATATACATATATATACAACTTACTGTTTGATTTGCAGATGACATTATTATCTCTATGTAGAGGTGGAAATGATTTATCAGAAGAAACTAAACGAAACTTCGAGTCTTGGTTGCAACAGCAACAGTTGGGTTTAGGTTTAAATCCGATGGTACCATCCTCGAACCATCACACGCAGAGCCCTCAGCCGGATGGAGCCGGCACTATTGGATCGGCAGGTGGTACGATCGGTCCTCCGCATCCGGCGTTACTTCAATACTCGCATAAAACTAGGATGAGAACGAGTTTCGATCCCGAATTGGAATTACCGCGGCTTCAGCGATGGTTCGGTGAGAATCAACACCCGTCACGTCAACAGATTCAACACTACGTCTCGGAATTGAATGCCCTAGAGTCTCGACGAGGCAGGAAGCCCTTGGACGTAAATAACGTTGTCTACTGGTTCAAGAATGCCAGAGCCGCTCAGAAGAGAGCTGAGAACAGGGGTGTCAATGGTTACAGCCCTCCTGGGCTCAGTCCGAGAGGCGCCAGTATTGTCAGCGAAGATTGTACAGACGAGGAAGAGGATTCAAGGAATCAGGTATGTGTCGAAATATTAAAAATATCAAAATCAATTGTTTCTCTGGTGGAACGAGGTTTTCTTTGTTTGTTTTAGTTTATTTTAATTATATTGTTAAAAATAAAATATGAAAAGTAATTCATCAGAAATAATAGTAACATATGAATGAAGTGTAGACTAATTAATTTTTAGTAAATTTATTTTTGAAATGAATGTTCTTTAAATCTTTATTGCAATCTTTATTACTTTTGAAACAGATATTGGAATATAATACGAAACCCAACTGAAAAGTAAATGTCTGAAATTTAATTAAAAACCAATTTGCAATTTACTAAATGTAGAAATAAAATGTGCATCAGGAACATTATAATTAATATTTAGCAAATTTATTTTTCAAATAAACTTTAAAATGAATAGCTTTGTTATTTTTAAAGCGAATATTAGATATATACAAAACTCATTTTTAATTACAAAGCAGAAGAAAGTAGCATGAAACATGAAAGACCATTTCGTTTTTAGAATACCATTTTTATAAAATCAATCATAACAAATGAAAGATTTTTGTAGATGTTCAGTTATATTTATACTTAATTATTTAACAGTATTATGTTTGTAACATAATGAATTTATTGGATAACCAAAAAAGTTTGTGCGCTTTCTTAGAACAGGAATTAAAGATATAAAAATTTTCATAATGGTAAAATAATATTAAATTATAAAATGTTGATATATTAATATATTAATACATGTAACATATCAATGTATATAATATATAAATTATTGTTCAAATAATCGCTTTAACAATCTACAATCTTTCTCAAATGCATAAAAGTTTGTAAATTTCGCTTTTATAAAATGTTCTGTCTTTAGAAGTGAAAAATCTACTGACCTTCAATCTCTGCTTTATTGGTAAATTTTCTACATCTTTTGCTAAGAAAAAATAACAATCGTTAAGAGAAAATTATAATACAGAAGCATATATCTAATTTTATTTAACTATTAATAATCTAATAATAAAATAAAACTAATGCTATACACAAAAATTTGGACTCTGGGTTTGAAACACATTACAAGTCGCATTACCTATATTATTCGATATAATATTAATTATATCGAATAAAATATAATATTAATAATGTGGAATAATGTAGTATTTAAATATGAAAAAATAGTATACAGAATAATATTTCATAGAAAACAAACAGAAAATAATTTTATTTTTTTTATTCATTAAATATTTCAGTACACAATTCCTTCGTTCTTTATTGTATGGTTTTCATTCTTCCGTATCTTTATGTATCTTTCCGTATTCCTTATGTATCTTATATATTTTTCTGTCCATTCCATAGCTTTCGTTGATCTTTCTTTATTGAAAAAACAAATAATAATTTGAGAAAAATGATATAATCTAGATATTAGACATATATATATATTAATATTCCATAATACTACAAAACGTTCATATTTGTAATTTCATGATGCTCTGTTTTTTAAAAGAAATCACATAATTTCACAAATACTTATGAATATCACATATAGGTACATCAACAACAATAAAAAAGATAAATACAGTAAAATAATAATACATATGATAAATCAAATGTATGAAAAAACTTTTCATACAGCGACAAAATTAAATATTTTTGTTATGTCACTAACGTTTATTCGATTGACATTATGTATCATTAAAATCAGTAAATAAGATTACTAATCTTATACTAGTGATATAAAATTAATCAATCAGTTAAAAATAAAAATAAAAAGTAAAAATCAAAAATAAAAATAAAAGTAAAAAATATAAGTAAAATATGAATTAATTATAATCTGATTAGTTTCTAACAAATTTATTTTTAAAAATAAATAAAAGAATGGATATTAATGGTCATTCAAATGAATATTGCTCGTGATGCAAAATTGATTTATGAAACATTCGTTTCTAAATAAAATACAAAATATAGTGAATTTACATTTGGAATAACGATTACTGATGGTTTAATATCTTTCTTATAGTAATCATCATTATGTACTCGTGTTTTAGTCGACATCACCTTCTCCCTGTCCACCTGGAAGCCCGCCGGTCGGTCCATTGTCACTTACAACCAGACCTGAGGATCAACAACCTCCACCTTCAACACCATCCTCAGTGAAACAAGAAGATGCCAGGGTATCCTCTGGTTCCGAAGACGACGAGACAAGACCGACTGGTCCATTGCCGCCTGGATTTTCTCTGGTTCCTAGTTCAATGTTTGGCCATGGAATAATGTATATGTCACCTTATCTGCCACCACGTGGACCAGCTGGTTGTTCGACCAGTATGTTGGACGAGAGGAGGAAGAGGAACCGGACGTTCATCGATCCCGTAACGGAAGTGCCGAGACTCGAAGCTTGGTTCACTCACAATACTCATCCCAGTCACGCGGTAAGTTGAACGACGTTATTTAATTATCGACACGTAGATTTGTCATTCCTTTGCATTAATATTCACTTAGTCGCTTGAATAATTTCATGATATCATTATCTACAACCAATATTATTCTTCAAATATTATAATGAATTCGTACAAAAATGATCATGAATTAATATACAAAAGTTGACACGACATATATATACTTTTTACATAATTATAATTACAATTCATCAATTACTTTCTGCATGATAGTGATCATTAGGCTGCGAATTTTTATTTAAATTGATATTTTTTGGATGGATGCAAGTAAAGAAAAATAATTTAAATGGAAGTTTGTTTTATTTATTAAAACTTGTGATAAATGCTATTATTTAAAAATTCAATGACTTATTACATATAATATGAATTGTATGACCTATTACATGTATGTACTTTATTACATATATTTTATGCATTTTTACATGATTAAATTTTGCATAAATGCATAAAAATCTGCCGTTTTGTGGTCAAATAACATAGTAAAATAACGGTATATTATTTAATCTACGTATCATACTGGATTCGCATCATATCACATTCTTTCTAATGTAGTTTTTAAAATATATTTCGTAATATATTTCGAAATATATTGTATTTATTAAAATTTATTTTCAATAATATTTTTTAAAATATAGTGTAGGTAGTTGTACATAAAAATGAACAATACACAGCTAACCTTGAAATATTTCTGTTACTTTTATATTATCTGGTATCTTTGCATTTTCATATTTTGATTTTACGTTGTTGATTTTCAAAAAATTATAGATTATATTTAATTATATTCCTTCAAAAATTATATGTTTAATAATTCTTATAATAACTACGAATAATAGAAAAAATGATACAGAAAGTAAAAGTTACACAAATTTTATTTAAAATGATCCATTAAATTTACATAATTTTAGTACTTTGTAAATTATATATTGTTTCAAAATTATTATATTTTAAAATTATACAATTGTAAAGAGCTCGTAATAATATTCATACTTTTACGTACTTTTCCCATAGTGAACGAATTTCCTTCAGAAGATTTAATGATTTTTTCAATAGAATATTATATTTTTTGTAACAGAATATTTAAAAATGCTAATTCTAGCTGAATAATTATATTAATAGGATATTTTGCTTAATATATTGAAAATATATTTTATTTCTCTAATTCAGTATTAATGATAATTTCAAGATTTTTATGCTTTTTATATTAAAGAGACAATCTGAGATCCCGTGTAAACAAAAATCTCGTTATCTATTAAAACAAAATTGCTATCTCTAGGAAAATAAAGAATTTATATAAATTCATATGTTTGTGAATAAAATTTTAAAAATGTAATCTAAATGTAAGTGTTATACTTTAAATAGTTAATATACATTTGCATGTTACGTGTATGTATTTTCTATTCAAATTTCCTGTAAATGTATAAAAATCTATCTGGTAATGAAATATCTGTATTTGAAACAAATCACATCAGAATATAAAGTAAAACATTTCTAAAATTATTAGTTTGAGAATTATTCGAAATTTTTACTCAGATTCTTTTATTCTTTCAAATTTCTTTACATTTCTAATATAAACCTATTATATATAAATATGCTGTTTGAGAAAATGAATTTAAACTCTTTCATTTATTGTTCAAACTCGTAAAATTTACTATACGCATATAAAAATTTTTTCCACATATAATACATAATTACATATATAATATGTAATTTAAATTTTAAATGTTACTCTGTGCATGCAAATTAATGAAATTTATTAAATATTTTATTATCAACAAATGGTCATTATCTTCATACTTACTTTCTTCTTCGTAATTCAATAATAACCAATGGATACAGTGCAATATCAGAATAAAATAAACATCGTTTTATTGAACTATATACATTCTGAAAATAATTGTAATAGGAAGAAAGTTTTTTAATATGTTTTAACATATCGTTAACCGATTATTAACATCGGTTACCTGAGAGTTAATTCATGTTTTCGTACGCAAACGGTCAAAAATTACCGATCAACAATATATTAATTGTGCTTAACTCTTTTATTCTATGTGAGTTTTGAACTCTATGAGACATGAAATCCATTGAGTTTTGAATAATTTGTTGATCCAAAGTATTTCAAGTTTCATTTTGTTCTTAAACATCTTTCGAAATTAGCTGCTTTCTTAATTTTTATTTCCAATACTCTCAGATATTTTCGATGACATTCATGTCAAGATGTCGTAATAGAAGTCGAATGCTTTTTCTTGTCTACTCAATTGCTGTGAAATATTTCCAGTTCTTGGTTCTCACGTTCCTTGTCTTTACATTCTAATCTTAAGTGTTTCCTTGCTTTTTTGCCTTGAGAATAACGAATTAAAACATTTTGTTAATTCTGATATGTAACTAAATGATATTGCAAGTAAAATCCATTTCATTTATAGTTCCTATTTCATTTTATTATTATTATTATTATTTTTTTTTTACTAGTTTTTACTGATATAGCACTGTAACCAAAACCAATTCTTCCAACAATTTTCATTTAATTTCGTTACAGTATATTCGTTTCCTGCTAGCGAATTGTTTCAAGAGATTTTGACATGTTTAATTCGCAGTTGATTCTGAAATATACGGAGGAACTGAATCGGATGCCGTATCGACAGAAGTTCCCGCGACTGGAACCAAAAAATGTACAATTTTGGTTCAAGAATCGCCGGGCCAAGTGCAAACGTTTGAAAATGGCCCTATTCGAGGGTGAATCACCGCAATCGCACCCGTACCACGCAGACTAGCTCGTCCCCTCATGTAACGTAACGTAGGAACAACCAAGATGTCCCAAGATGACACGATCATTTATGTATCGTAAAATGGAAGGAGGGAAAGGAGAACGGAAAAAACATCGTTAATCAACCTGTTATTCTTTAATATCGTTGACTCGTGACCATATTCGCCGGTCGCACTTTTGTTGTAATTATCGCGTAATAATTAATATAATTACTATGGACTTTAATAAGTGTACATATGAGAATACTGTCGAATAAAAGCTATACGTCATGATTTGCAGCATCGTTATTATCCTTTTCGAATGTTACTATCGATGTGTCTGTGCATCTTCATTCCTTCCACGAACACTCTTCATCTTGTTTGTTATAAATTAATGGAACAGGTAAATAAAGAAATTTTTCAAACGTGCAATAGATGAAAATATTATTACTCCTATTTCTCATAATGTTTCTTTTGTTTAAATATATTCATGTGTGTAAATATATTAATGTTAAGATAAAAGTAATTGAATAATAAATCTGACATGATTGAGGCTGAATTATTTTGAACCGAAGGACAAATTTCTCAGCCGATTTTTGACAAGGATAAATTTTATTTATTTATTTATGTTTTATTTCGCGAATATAAATTTGATGTAAATATTTATTTTAAGGACAAGTTTTCCAATTTTATTCATTTTTTTTTTCTCTTATTCCATAAATAATTGTATTGTGACTCGATGAACCACAGTCGAATAATTCTAACAATTAGAATTATTGAAAATGGCCCGAATAAATTGAACAATAAATTTGACATAAGTATTTATTTTGATAGAAATTTCTTGAATTGCGGGACAAACTTTTCAATTTTATTTATTTTCGTTTGCTTTATTCTTTGAAAAGGAACGAATGAATTGTATTTAATTTTATTAGTAATGAAAGTACACGTCTTCAATTTCAATTCCTTTTATTTTCGTTTGCTTTATCCCATGAAATGTATTAACACTTGAGAATAATTTGATCGAAAACAAAACACTTACGGAGCAGCTTGATAAATTATAACTTTCAACATAATATTTATAATTGTTTTTACATAAATGTTGTTCATGACAAAAATAAAAATATAAAAGACCAAAAAATTTTTGCTTAACTGTCAGAAAACTCGCCCACAACAGGAATCGATCACATAGCGACAAAAGATGGAATTTCTATTCAATGTCTTAGTATTATACGTATCTATATAAGATGTGACACAGGCCAGGGTAAATATCTGTAATAGTGTCTCCAAACGTGGAGTCTCTGCTATACTGAAATCTCGTCCTAAGATAAGATCAATGTATTGTTGTCGAGTCAACCCTGACTCAAACTTTACAATAATCAAAGTCTTTCTATAGATGTGACGAAGGACTATACTTGTCATATCAACAATAAATTATCGATCTTTATTCCTAAAACGACATCTACGCGATATAATATTAGAACCATTTATTTTTTAAATACAGTAGACGTTTGATTTGTTGTGTTTCATAACCGCAAGTGTAATTTTAAATGAACTGAGTATAAGATAGTTTTAGTTAGGGGAAATACAACCGGATAAAATCATGGTACAGTGAATATTTTTCATTTGAGACTTTGAGTTTAAAAATTTGTCAAGTACACAAGAAAGGTTTTAAGATATTTTCCATTTTTATTATTCACCGTAAATAATAAAATGTTTGAATTACGTATTTTACAACACGATTATTAGCTATTGTATTAACATTTTATAAATTGTCTGTTGTTTAAAGTATTATTTTTTACAGATTTATAAGAAACAATACTTATTTTGAAACTGCTGAATAGGTGTGTACGCTTGGATTTGGCTAATTTCGTAATGGACGACGATGAACAATTAAAATATTTTAATTGGAGAAGTAAAAAATAAAACTTTTTTGTTTAAGAGTTCGTTCTAAAAAAAAAAATAGATTTTGGATGTATTTTGTTAAGAATTAGTTTGCTACACGTTTACTTGATAAATTTCGAAATTCAATTTTTTCGGAAAAAGTTTTATTTCACATCTATCATTTATTTTTGAGCGCACGCAGTAATCTTTTGTCGAATATTCATTCCTGTCCGAAATTAATCTAATTTAGAATAATTAAGAAATATTCAAAGTCAATTTTTTGAAAACAGTGCGTCGTATAAAAATATTTTATTCTACACGTTCGACTTATTTTTCGAGTAGTGTCTCTGTTTTATATGAATAAGTATCCTAGTAAAGAAACTTGTTCAATGTCACTTAATTTTCTATAAATAAAGTTTACACATTTATCAAGTATAAATAGACGTATAAATAAATATTAAATAAAAGCACTAGGTTAGCACATGAAAGGCGTTCGTTGAATTGTTTAGATTTGTGCCTAATTTCTTGTTTTTAATATTTCTAGAAATATTAACAAATTTTGATTTATTTAAAGAAATCTCCAACGTTTAAAGAAATTCCTAACTTTAAAAAAATGTGTCAAGTTTGAACAAAATCTGAAAAAATTCTTCTTAGTTAATAACAGATGGCTTTCTAATTAAATTTCATGTTAAACATCTTATAAATACTGTAAATTCTTTTGGGTTTTAAAATTAGAATAAAAATTTAATTATCATAACAGAGTTAATGGTTTTGTTAAAGATTCTAAAGAAATTTATATGTACTTATATGTATTTATATATTTATATGTAAATTTATATGATTCTAATGAAATTTATATTATATGTAAAATTTATATGTATAAATTTTACATATAAAAGAATAAACGATTTTATGGAGGATTAATACAAATCTTATAATTCATTCAATTGAAATAAACTCGAATGAATGTTACAAAAGTCGTTCTTAAATCATACAAAAATCAAACAAACATAACGATACAGTTATAGAAGTAACTAGCAACTAAAGTTTAAATCAACATCATATCAAATTTAACAATGTGTTTGTCCTGTATCGAATATTAACCAAATGATTAAGAGAAAAAAACAGATCTTTCTGTCATGATTTTTGCAACAGTATAAGCGAATGTGATCAGAAGATATCAGACTTTCGACTCTGTTTAAGTCGACAATGCTACACGAAGGGGAAGTGCTTTCGTCATCTATGAGATACGCGCATAGGACGTCGACAGAGAGATCGTACCCGAAGTCAGGACGGATTTAATGAGGATAGGCGGATTTGTCCAATTAAAATGTCTTGTAAAGATCCACGTAGGTCGATGCTCGTTCATTCACAAAACATCGAAATTCGACCTCACCGCAACAGCCTCTTCTTATCCATGACTATACAAGTACAAACTCGAACTGTTATCCCTTTCGTTATCGTTATTGAGATTCGCCTCTCGAGCCAAGCAAACTCGAGACATCGTTAAGAGGGCAGCGAGGATTTGAAGATGCTCTAGTGAAAATCAGGATTGTTTTGTTAATGCCAGATGAATCGTGTAAGTATCGGATAAGTTTTCTTGGAACCTGGAAATTTGTTACTTGGTTTTTCTTTCACTTAAAGATTATGTTTGAAAGTAACGAATATCCGTCGATAATAAGAAGGATTATATCGTGTTAAGATCTTTCCGATTCGTTTCGCTGTACTTCAAATAAATGGACAACAGTTCTAGTGAATTTACGAATCTATATCTTTCAACTCTTTTACAATAATCACTATGGTTGATTAGCGGATGGCTGCGGATTTCGATTTTAGCCAACGCATTCGAGAATTGTATTTACTTGCAGTCAACACTTTTCAAGAATCGAAAATTTAAATACGCAACGAAAGAGTTATTTTGGTTATGGAAATATCGTCGTGGACTTTTCTCGAATTTTGCCAAAATTGGGTAAAATTTGGATGAAAGCTGAACTATAATTTAATCCTTTGTACACTTCAGTAACATCGGTTTTGCAATATAATTATTACTTTTATTAAAGAAAGAAATGATTATTTTGAGTGATAGGAAAAAGATTATTATTTATAATTAAAGATTTATAAATTTTCTTTTCGACAGCTGTATTATTAAAAAATCGCTGAAATTGCTAATTCCATCGAAAAATGCAAAAATTTATCTACAAACAAAGTAAGAGATGTCAATATTTATTGTCTATTTCTTCCATAAAAAATTATTTTATTTTGCTACTCAGAAATGCTAGGATACTTTTTATTTTCAATTTATTTTATTTGAATTAGTATTTACAGTAAAATTTTTCAATTCTACATTTTGTAATACAATTGTTAATATTATTGTTAGTATTACTACATTTTTCCAGTTTTGAAGTAAATATAGATTGAAACAAATAGAGTATTTATGTAATAATAAAAAAATATAATATTATAAAAGTATTATTATTATGTGACATTTATTCAATGTATTACCTTTCCCAAAATGCACATAGTAGACATTTATTATTTCGAATATACAATCGTTCATGAAAATGTTCAAATAATAAATTTCTCATATTTAAAAAATTGTCGATATTTAAACTGTTACTTATAATTTCTTAAAGTAAAATTGTATAATAATAAATAATAATAATAAATAATAAATAATAAATAAGTAATAATAATAAATAATCTTGATTCGTTAAAATTTCAAGCCTCTAATTTGCAAATAACGTCATTCAATTAACAAATTGTTAATAAAAGTATCTGAAAATTTAATTATTTATCTCTTTGTTACATTAACTATTACATTGTATAAACTTGACAGTAAGAAACAGAATAAATTGAAAAAATGAAGATTGAAATTGGATGAAAATTCAACATAATATTTTAGTATGTCACTCTACTACATGAATAATTATAGAAGAATTCTGGAGAACTAAGAAATTTTTACTTTATTTCACTGTTTCTTATTTTGCGTCTTTTACATAAAATATTTTCGATATCTTTCTCAGAATGCATGAACATATTTAACCAGAAAATCTCCTTTATTTTTTTCACTTTTGTTTTTAGGATGTACGAATGCTATCTACAAAAGAAGTTCTACAGCATCCGCGTAAGACTTTCATAAATTAGTAAACGTTATAAATATTTCATTCTAACAAAAATTTCTTTGTACAATGTTAGAAAATGTGTCTAATAAACTTAATCTTTTTTTTTTTTTAAATGATGTGACATATTAATCTAGTGATATGACATTAAGCTCCTAATTTAAGAAATTACATTATATACTTCTATAAATAATTTTTATAAACTATAATCATTTTATATAATGTATTACGAATTGAGATAATACGTAAATTAGTTTATGTACGGGCGTTTATTTATTAATTTGTTTAATTTGT